CGACGCCACCATGGAACACTAAACGCTCCATCAGTTGACATCTCCTTTCTCTTCAGTATCCAGACCAAAAGCTCTTGTCAGAGCTACACAAATATCACAAAAGAATGCTATGAACATGAACTGCTTCATTCCAAACGTCCCGTTCAACATCAATACCTTAGCTCTCACCACCTTCCCACAGAAACATTTTGCAAGCTGACAAACACAGTCGATTCTCATCTGTATTCTTTCCCAATATACACATATGTTTTCAAATACACAGTCAAGTTACTTATATTCATTGGAGACGTTTATTCATTACCAAAGTAACTCAGTTCTAACAACCCACATACACACAAAACATCTTTAATAGAGTACAACAATTTAAACCACACGTTTCATCACGTCCTATAGAAATAAGTGACTCACCAATACTTAATCGGTAATATTGACCACGAATATAGCTGCCAATGCTCTAGAGTTGCAACGATTTTTTTTAATTACCAATAGACGTTTAGAGTTTCAAAGAGCGCCAAAGCGTCATGCTTCTTCAAGTAAGACATAACTACTGCCTGAAAAGGCATTTGGAGAAGTCGACGCTATTGAATAGATTGGCCTTAACATTATGAAGACGGCTGTTGTGTTTTATACAATGTTGACCCAGGGGGTAATTTGGTCGATCTCGTTATAAGAAGATAACTGCTGACGCGGACAATGGTATGGTTGAATCTCTTCCCTTAGATACACTCAGTCTGAAGTAATGTACTCCATTAAGCGCGCTGTTTGTGCTAAGATTTTATCCCAACCGAAGCACTTACATTTTTTGTGTGTAGATAGCTGTTTTGAAAATGACGTTTGTCCTCAAATTTGGAGACAGAGTGTTATTTCCCGTACCAGAAAGTCAGGATTTGACCGACATGACCCCTTAGGATACTGTGGTATTTCACTGACCCCTTAGGATACCGTGGTATTTCCCTGACCCTTAGGAAACCGTGGTATTTCACTGACCCCTTAGGATACTGTGGTATTCCACGGACCCCTTAGGATAACGAGGTATTTCACTGACACCTTAGGATACCGTGGTATTTCACTGACCCCTTAGGATACCCTGGTATTTCACTGGCCCCTTAGGATACCGTGGTATTTCACTGACCCCTTAGGATACCGTGGTATTTCACTGACCCCTTAGGATACCCTGGTATTTCACTGACCCCTTAGGATACCGTGGTATTTCACTGACTCCTTAGGATACCGTGGTATTTCACTGACCCCTTAGGATACCCTGGTATTTCACTGGCCCCTTAGGATACCCTGGTATTTCACTGGCCCCTTAGGATACCCTGGTATTTCACTGACCCCTTAGGATACCGTGGTATTTCACTGACCCCTTAGGATACTGTGGTATTTCACTGGCCCCTTAGGATACTGTGGTATTTCACTGACACCTTAGGATAACTTGGTATTTCACTGGCCCCTTAGGATACTGTGGTATTTCACTGGCCCCTTAGGATACCGAGGTATTTCACTGGCCCCTTAGGATACCGAGGTATTTCACTGACCCCTTAGGATACTGTGGTATTTCACTGGCCCCTTAGGATACCGAGGTATTTCACTGACACCTTAGGATACCGTGGTATTTCACTGACCCCTTAGGATACCGTGGTATTTCACTGACCCCCTAGGATACTGTGGTATTTCACTGACCCCTTAGGGTACCGTGCTATTTCACTGACCCCTTAGGATACCCTGGTATTTCACTGACCCCTTAGGATACCGTGGTATTTCACTTACCCCTTAGGATACCCTGGTATTTCACTGGCCCCTTAGGATACCCTTAGGATACCCTGGTATTTCACTGACCCCTTAGGATACTGTGGTATTTCACTGGCCCCTTAGGATACCGTGGTATTTCACTGACACCTTAGGATAACTTGGTATTTCACTGGCCCCTTAGGATACTGTGGTATTTCACTGGCCCCTTAGGATACCGAGGTATTTCACTGGCCCCTTAGGATACCGAGGTATTTCACTGACCCCTTAGGATACTGTGGTATTTCACTGGCCCCTTAGGATACCGAGGTATTTCACTGACACCTCAGGATACCGTGGTATTTCACTGACCCCTTAGGGTACCGTGCTATTTCACTGACCCCTTAGAATACTGTGGTAGTTCACTGACCCTTTAGGATACCGTGGTATTTTACTGATATTGACACCTTCTAAAATTTATGCTGATATTCAGAACCTCCGTTTTCTTAAATGGCTTGATTCTGATATTTTAGTTTCCGAAGGAAATGTAGCAGCGTAAAACATATTTATACATTATATTCAGTTGTTTATGACAGGAAATTGCAGAAACGTCCAACCTTTGCATGTTACATTGAGTTAACCGAATTTGCCTCTGATATAAACTCACCAGGCTTTTCATGAATTGAAATATTTATCATGCAGTTTAATCATTGCATGGGAATAACCAGTCAAGTATTTCTATAAATGGAAGCTACACCGATAATTTCCCTACCGGTAGTGGTGTCAAACAAGACTGTGTCTTATCACCCACACTATTGTCTCTATCTATCAATGATTTGGTTCATGAAATGATCGATTTACGCTGTGGTATCCAACTTGAGTGAACCATGCGTAGTGGTTGCAATCTCGAGTTTGTTTCAACTCATAAATACCACGGCGAAAGACATGGCTCAACCGTCTGTGAGGGCTCTCGGTGTAATATTAAATATTTTAAATTTCTCGGTGGTATGCCATATGCTGTTTTCAATACTTTGTATAACAACATAGTTCATCATATATTACCATATGCATCAGCTATCTGGGGGGAACGTGGATTTGATTGTATCAACGCTATCCAGAAAAAGGCATGTGGTTTCTTCCTTGGTGTAGGAATAAAAACTCCTGATTGTGTCGACCAGGAAGAAATGGCATGGTTGTCTCCCTTCACTAAACACAGACTTTAAATGATCAGGATTTTTAAAACTCTGAACGTTTCAAGCAAAATAAAGTTATAAGTATTGTCCGATCCTGGTCATTGTGTTTCCAAAAACCATAGGAAAACCCTGTCCTTGAAATGTTTCATCATCTACAGCTACCAGTCCATGGCCTTAATCTTGTTTCAGAATTTGATTTCCAGAATATTTAAAGTAGACTTACTTCTATTGATTACGAGAAAATGGACCAAGGACTGAAGAACGATGCAGACTTACATATTGGTTAAAGGTGCCATTGAAACTTCAATCTATGTACGCACTTTCCTGTGTAAATCTCAGCGGAGTGTCTGCTGAGTTACGTTGGGGTGCACTTCCTTTAGAAATTGAACTACTCCTCTTCTTTTGTAGGGCACGGGTGGCCCAGTCGTCTAAAATGCCGCGATTCACTGTGCTGAGTTGCACCCCTTGGGCACGCCAGAAACCTATAATTGTTGGTTCGAATCCCGGTTCACCCCGATTATGTCTGTAGGTTTGTCAGCACCATGCCCGTGCTCGAGGGTTTCACCGAAGTGGTAAACGTCTGTGACCTGCATCACTTCTGGCTTTCCTCCCACATTAAGCTGACACGGCGCGATATAACTGGAATACTGTTAAAAGCGGCGTCAAACCCAACTCACTCACTCACTCATATGTCAAATATTAATACAACCACTGCTTCGTACAACAACCTTCCTTTTTGTACCGGATTTTGTATCGAGATGAGATATTTTTCAAAGATAACTACAAAACCAGATAAATATTTTTAATTTAACACGATGAGCCTGAATATTTTAAGAAAAAACACTTTGCAACAACGAAATCAACCTGGTTCCCTGGGTGGGCTGCAATGTAATCTTTGTGTTAGGCACGTTCTTTTTTTTCAACTGTCTGAAGCATAATTATTTTATTCAAGAAGACTGCAGCTGCCGGAAAATCGCAAAGAGACAGTTGACTTTTGGAAAGTTGAAGTCCTCCTTTTGTCACTCAGTCTTGTGGAGAGTTTTTTGTGTCAGTCTGAATCTATATGCATAGATCTAAACATGGAACAGATGGGGTGGTCTCACTGGTCTCCTTTATTTCTAGTTCAGGTGGGTAAATCAGTGCAAGGGAATTGGTTATTTGACAGAACAGTGTTCAAAGGACGTCTGAAACAGCGTTCAAAGCGACAAGGGGTGGTGGGGTAGCTTAGTGGTTAAAGCTTCGCTCGTCACGCCGAAGACCCGGGTTCGATTCCCCACATGGGTGCAATGTGTGAAGCCCATTTCAGGTGTCCCGTGATATTGCTGGAATGTTGCTAAAAACGGCGTAAAACCATACTCACTCACTCACTCAAGGTGACAACCCTATCCTACTGACTTATGCTATCATCCTCCATAGGCAGTAGGGAAGCATAGTGGTTAAAGCGTTCGATCGTCACACCGAATGCCCGTGTTGGATTCCACAAATGGCAGCAATGTGCGAAGCCCATTTCTTGTGTCCCCCCGCCGTGATATTGCTGTAATATTGCTAAAAGCGGCATAAAATCATACTCACCATCCAACTCACGAAGATCCTCTATGACAAGAAAAACCTGGCGACGGTGGAATGCTTTCCTTCGGTGTTGTGAGGTGCGTCATGAGATAATACACAGGTGATAAACTGGGTTCAATTCATTTGTGCAATAATGGCCTCTGAGGCTATTTTGAAATTGCCTTTCAACAATTTTCTAGATATTTATTTTCGTAAACATAGGTAGAGCTCAAACCCAACAAGACAAGCTTTGAAATAAGCATTCTTCCTTTCAGATAAGTTGATTGATTGCAAGGGCGGACTCATTCGTGAGATAAGAAAATGAATTAGTACAAGACAACATCTTTTCGGATTTTTTTCTATGTTATACCGACCCAAACTCCACTATTTCACAAGCGACACTCCTACAAGAACAAAAGGGAAAAGGTCACTATGTATGGCTTACACAATAATGCACTCACTGAAGGTACATCTATCCAAAATAACAGAAACTTTCTTGATACGGTCCCTGTAGTCTTATCGCACCTGCCTGGGTTGCTACAGTAAGCGTTGTTGTTTGGGGTGGGGGTGATTGCATGTCCTGGCGTGAGAGAGGACATATAGATTTTCCCCTAATATGTGCTGGTGGATCTTACACGTTTGTTGATCGACATTGCAAAGGTAGGTCGAAAAATATCTGTTTCAATTCGGGCCCTGGGATAGCTTAGTGGTAAAGTGTTCGCACGTCACGCCGAAGGCCCGGGTTCTATTTTATTGTGAGAAGCACATTACTGTTGTGTTCCCGACATGATATTGCGGGAATGTTGATAAAAGCGGCGTAAAACCCAACTCACTCGCTCATTCTAGTTGAACTGTTGACTTTAACGAGTCTCACAGATTACGTGGAGGCATGGTGATATTGCTGGTACTCGTATGCGTTACATGTGTTCAAGGATGATCCAGTCCTCTACGGCGCCGCACACAGTTACGTCCCTTGTGCGTGCCAGAATCCTGTGGTCGTTGTTGGTTCGAATTCGACTTGATTGTAGTCATTGCTTGACGGCACCATACCAAAGTGTTTGTCTTTTATCTCTTTGGGCTTTTCCCCAACATCAAACTGACAGGCCCACGATGAACATGCTTGTTGTAAGACAGGGGAATAGGCCCACGATGAACATGCTTGTCGTAAGACAGAGGAATAGGCTCACGATGAACATGCTTGTCGTAAGACAGAGGAATAGGCCCACGATGAACATGCTTGTCGTAAGACAGAGGAATAGGCCCACGATGAACATGCTTGTCGTAAGACAGAGGAATAGGCCCACGATCAACATGCTTGTCGTAAGACAGAGGAGTAGGCCCACGATCAACATGCTTGTCGTAAGACAGAGGAGTAGGCCCACGATCAACATGCTTGTCGTAAGACAGAGGAGTAGGCCCACGATCAATATGCTTGTCGTAAGACAGAGGAGTAGGCCCACGATGAACATGCTTGTCGTAAGACAGAGGAATAGGCCCACGATGAACATGCTTGTTGTAAGAAAGAGAAATAGGCCCACGATGAACATGCTTGTCGTAAGACAGGGGAATAGGCCCACGATGAACATGCTTGTCGGAAAACAGAGGAATAGGCCCACAATGAACAAGCTTGCCCTAAGACAGGGGAATAGGCCCACGATGAACATGCTTGTCGTAAGACAGAGTAATAGGCCCACGATGAACATGCTTGTCGTAAGACAGAGAAATAGGGCCACGATGTACATACATGTTGTAAGACAGAGGAGTAGGCCCACGATGAACATGCTTGTCGTTAGACAGAGAAATAGGCCCACGATCAACATGCTTGTCGTGAGAAAGAGAAATAGGGCCACAATCAACATGCTTGTTGTAAGACAGAGAAATAGGCCCACGATGAACATGCTTGTCGTAAGACAGAGAAATAGGCCCACGATCAACATGCTTGTTGTAAGACAGAGAAATAGGTCCACGATGAACATGCTTGTTGTAAGACAGAGGAATAGGCCCACAATGAACATGCTTGTCATAAGACAGAGAAATAGGCCCACGATGAACATGCTTGTCGTAAGACAGAGAAATAGGCCCACGATGAACATGCTTGTTGTAAGACAGAGAAATAGGTCCACGATGAACATGCTTGTTGTAAGACAGAGGAATAGGCCCACAATGAACATGCTTGTCATAAGACAGAGAAATAGGCCCACGATGAACATGCTTGTTGTAAGACAGAGAAATAGGCCCACGATGAACATGCTTGTCGTAAGACAGAGGAATAGGCCCACAATGAACATGCTTGTCGTTAGACAGAGGAATATTCATAATATGAAAATAGATTTTTCAATACTCCGCGATGAGGAAATTTAGACCATTAGAAAATTGTTGTAAAACCATCATGTCATTTATAACACATGTTATATTTGGGATAACACTTTCTAAGTATAATACAAAGTCTAGTACCATTTGGGGATGAGCCATCCGGGATTCAAACCATTCTCTCGGAGTGAGGCACCTAATCGCCAGCACACAAAGCCAGCGTCTAACCACCATGTCATTATTTAAACCCATCCAGCAATTCTCTCCTTGTTGAATTGTGTGTGTGTGTGTGTGTGAGAGAGAGAGAGAGAGAAAGAGAGAGAGTGTGTGTGTGTGTGTGTGTGTGTGTGTGTGTGTGTGTGTGTGTGTGTGTGTGTGTGTGTGTGTGTGTGTGTGTGTGTGTGGACAGACAGACAGACAGACAGACAGACAGACACATCGTAGGATTATTCCAGCAACGTCATGACAAGTCTGTTACTTCAAATGTTACCATGGACACCGGTGACCATGGTTACCGAGTGTCCGTGGTCGTCCAGATCACCAGATTTAAACCCAAACGAACAATAATAACGGACGACCTTGATAGGCGTCAACGACAACCTCAACCGCCACCTCGGACGCTACAGGATCTTTATCAACATCGGCAGCCACTACAGGATGAATGGGCGACAGTACCACAAGATTCAACGGTCTATTAATCCACGACCAGGCGATGCACAGCTGTGATACAGGCGAGTGGTGGTGCCACCAGATATTGATAAAGCGCCGTCGAATCACGCAATGTATCGGTCGGTGTATGTGAACCTCGGCCAGTCGTCACATAAACACCTTTGACATTTGCCTTGTGAAACTTGTCATACTTGTCCTTTCAAGTAAATACATTTGTTTCAAGAAAAGTAGTATAAACTATTTCCTTATTATTATTTTTTTTTTTTTTTTTTTTTTTTCAAGAAAAGTAGTATAAACTCTTTCCTTATTATTTTTTTTTATTATTATTTTTGTTTTTTTTGTTATTGTATTTTTTTTGTAGGGGGGGCGTGGAGAGGGGGGTATACTATATTGATAATTACCGTCTTTAGCCATCGTTAAATGAAAGAGTTTAGCTTAGTTTGTTTTAGTTCTAACATGTCAGAGGAAAGCCCGAAGTGATGCGCAGCTAAGACGTTTACCACTTGTGTGAATTCCACGAGCTCGAGTATTGTGCTCACAAACCAATGATCATAATTAGGATGCTAAATGAATTCGAGCCCACGATCATATGATCCTGTTGTGTTCAAGGGACGCTATTCTACTCGACAAATTGCGGGGATTTCGGTTAAGAAACGATCTGATACAAGGTAATGTTTATGCTCTCATTTACCTGATAAGAGAAACGCGTGTCTTAAATTGTCAAGCCTTTATCATTAGGTCAAACAAGATAATCAAGGACTGACCTACTTAGCAGGGCGCGTACGTATATCAATTGAGATTTAATGGATGTATATACTTCCTTTGGGCGATTTTCTGCAAAGGCACCTGCCTACGTTTGTATTTTTGTTGTTGATTCCGCTGTGCAGAGTTGCCTCCCTTGGGCACGCCAGATTCCTGTGATCGTTGGTTCGAATTCTGGTTCCCCCCCACCGATTATGTTTGTAGCTTTGTCAGCACCATACCCGTGCTCGTGGGTTTCACCGAAGTGGTAAACGTCTGCGACCTGCATCACTTCGGGTTTTCCTCCCTCTTCAGCAACTCATGCTTACCGTTACAGGCGACTAACGGGATCGGGTGGTCAGGCTCGCTGACTTGGTTGATGCATGTCATCGTATTCCAATTTCGTGGATCGATGCTCGTGATTTCCATCACTGGATTGTCTAGTCCAGACTCGATGATTTACAGACCGCCGTTATATAGCTGGACTATTGCTGAGTGCGGAGTTAAACAAATAAACAAAACAATATTTTAAAAATCATTGTTCAACACGTTAAAACGTATACTTAACTAGTTGTTGATTGAATACATATGCATATAGCACTTTTGTGTGCATTGTGTTGAATATGGTCTGTGAATATGACATGAATCAACAATGTCAGCGAGCCTGACCACCCGATCCCGTTAGTCGCCTTTCACGACAACATAGTCGTCTTTTACGGCAAGTATGGGTTGCTGAAGACCTATTCTACCCCGGATCTTCACGGGTCCACACCTGGGTCACTCACTCACTCACTCACTCACTCACTCAATGAAACACTCACTCACGCACTCACCAAACCACTCACTCAATGAAACACACACTCACTCACCCAATCACCCACCCACTCACTCAACCACTTAACCACTCAACCACTCAATGGACCACTCACTCACTCACCCAATCACCCACCCACTCACTCAACCACTCACTCACTCACCAAATCACCCACCCACTCACTCAACCACTTAACCACTTAACCACTCAACCACTCACTCACTCAATGAACCACTCACTCACTCACTCACTCACTCTTCGAACAGCATTCCAGTTAGTCATAACTCATTCATCCTTCATTTCAGAGCTCGACGGATCCTTGTCAAGGCACACACAATGGTATCCAGAAACGTAATACTGGTGTACATGGGCGCTGGAATCATTGTCTTGGGGTTAATCGGCAGCACATACTTCTACCATGGCCTCGTGGTGAACACGCGCTGGGTTGACCTCACACGCCCACGCCATTTTACTCTAAAGTCCATTGACGTCACAAATACGTCAGTACATCTACACGGAGTGTTGTCAAAGTCTTTAACAGAGACGGAGCATGAAGTTGCCATACAAATCGATGACCAGTTGTTAAAGAAACTGGTCCAACCTTCCATAGCAACAAAAGCATATTTTCGCTATGTGCCGAGGCAGGTTCGCACAGCTGACTGTAAATTACTTGTAAATGGGGATCAAGAAAATATCTCCAAAGCCAAAATGAGCACAGTTGGACCTCCTCTAAATATAAGTGTTGCCACTGAAAAATGTGATGCTTTCAAATTAAGGAGAGGATACATAACAGACTCTTTAAGTGAAGAGGAACGGGAGTTTCCAGTCGCTTTCAGTATTTTGATGTTCAAAGATGCCAATCAGGTTGAACGTCTTCTCCGGGCGATCTACAGGCCACAGAATTTCTACTGCGTCCACGTGGACACGAAGACAAAACCGGAAGTCAGGAAGGCGATGACGTCATTGGCAAGGTGCTTTGACAATGTATTTCTATCCTCACGTTCCGTAAGCGTCCGTTGGGGAGAATACACAGTTCTGGAACCCGAGCTGATCTGTATGGAAGATTTGTGGCATTACAAGTGGAAATATTTCATTAATCTCACTGGACAGGAATTCCCCTTAAAGACTAACGCCCAGTTGGTGAAGATTCTGACTGCCTACAATGGAGCCAACGATTTGGAGGGTACCGTGAAAAGGTAATATGACCATCGTGGAGGGGAATCGTGAGTACATGTACGCTTAGATACCTCCGTATGGAATTCATTTATGACCGCTAGTGCTGTGTGTTGTGGTGGCGATTGCTGGGCATAGGGATAGAGGTATGTTTTACAGCAGTGGACTGGCGGAGTAGATAGAAAAGCTCCAAAATATCCTGCAGCACACACTAATTATCAACCCTGGCAGGTGCCCTCATTGACGACCAGGAAGTTTCCAAATAGCCTGCAACATACTTTACCAATTAGCCATGGCAGTTGCCCTTATTGACAACCACATCAAATTCTGGGTAGATCCCAAATATCCTGCAGCAAACATTAATCATCAATCTTGGCAGGTGCCCTTATTGACGACCAAGAAGCTTCCAAATATCCTGCAACAAACTTCACCGATCAACCATTGCAGGTGCCCTAATTGACTACCAGATTCTAGGTAGCTCCCAAATATCCTGCAGCAAACTTCACCGAACAGCCATGGCAGGTGCCCTAATTGACTACCAGATTCTAGGTAGCTCCCAAATAGCATGCAACAAACTTTACCGATCAGCCATGGTAGGTGCCCTAATTGACTACCAGATTCCAGGTAGCTCCCAAATAGCATGCAACAAACTTTACCGATCAGCCATGGTAGGTGCCCTAATTGACTACCAGATTCTAGGTAGCTCCCAAATAGCATGCAACAAACTTTACCGATCAGCCATGGTAGGTGCCCTAATTGACTACCAGATTCTAGGTAGCTCCCAAATAGCATGCAACAAACTTTACCGATCAGCCATGGTAGGTGCCCTAATTGACTACCAGATTCTAGGTAGCTCCCAAATAGCATGCAACAAACTTTACCGATCAGCCATGGTAGGTGCCCTAATTGACTACCAGATTCTAGGTAGCTCCCATATAGCATGCAACAAACTTTACCGATCAGCCATGGTAGGTGCCCTAATTGACTACCAGATTCCAGGTAGCTCCCAAAAAGCATGCAACAAACTTTACCGATCAGCCATGGTAGGTGCCCTAATTGACTACCAGATTCTAGGTAGCTCCCAAATAGCATGCAACAAACTTTACCGATCAGCCATGGTAGGTGCCCTAATTGACTACCAGATTCTAGGTAGCTCCCAAATATCATGCAACAAACTTCACCGATCAGCCATGGTAGGTGCCCTAATTGACTACCAGATTCTAGGTAGCTCCCAAATAGCATGCAACAAACTTTACCGATCAGCCATGGTAGGTGCCCTAATTGACTACCAGATTCTAGGTAGCTCCTAAATAGCATGCAACAAACTTCACCGATCAACCATTGCAGGTGCCTTAATTGACTACCAGATTCTAGGTAGCTCCCAAATATCATGCAACAAACTTTACCGATCAGCCATGGCAGGTGCCCTAGTTGACTTCCAGATTCTAGGTAGCTCCCAAATATCATGCAACAAACTTCACCGATCAACCATTGCAGGTGCCCTAATTGACTACCAGATTCTAGGTAGCTCCCAAATATCATGCAACAAACTTCACCGATCCGCCATGGCAGGTGCCTTAATTGACTTCCAGATTCTAGGTAGCTCCCCAATATCCTGCAACAAACTTCACCGATCAGCCATGGCAGGTGCCCTACTTGACTTCCAGATTCTAGGTAGATCGTAAAAATCCTGCAACAAACTTCACCGATCAGGCGTGGCAGGTGACCTTATTGACAACCAGATTCTAGGTAGCTCCCAAATAGCATGCAACAAACTTTACCGATCAACCATTGCAGGTGCCCTAATTGACTACCAGATTCTAGGTAGCTCCAAAATATCATGCAACAAACTTCACCGATCAACCATTGCAGGTGCCCTAATTGACTTCCAGATTCTAGGTAGCTCCCAAATATCATGCAACAAACTTCACCGATCAGCCATGGCAGGTGCCCTACTTGACTTCCAGATTCTAGGTAGATCGTAAAAATCCTGCAACAAACTTCACCGATCAGGCGTGGTAGGTGACCTTATTGACAACCACATCAGATTCTAGGTAGATCCCAAATATCCTGCAACAAACTTTACCGATCAACCATGGCAGGTGCCCTAATTGACTTCCAGATTCTAGGTAGCTCCCAAATATCATGCAACAAACTTCACCGATCAACCATTGCAGGTGCCCTAATTGACTTCCAGATTCTAGGTAGCTCCCAAATATCATGCAACAAACTTCACCGATCAGCCATGGCAGGTGCCCTAATTGACTTCCAGATTCTAGGTAGATCGTAAAAATCCTGCAAAAAACTTCACTGATCAGGCGTGGTAGGTGACCTTATTGACAACCACATCAGATTCTAGGTAGATCCCAAATATCCTGCAACAAACTTTACCGATCAGACAGGTGCCCTTATTGACAACCATATATCAGGTAGCTCCCCAGTAGACCTGACCTGCAGCAGAGATCACCAGCCAACCATGGAAGATATTCTATGCTCCCAATCTATTATCTTCCCGAGACAAGGGAGTTAACTTACTCTAAAAGTCCACTTTCCAACCTTGCTGAACTAGGCTGGAATTTCTGGGCTCGATCGGAGCGCCACCACTGGCTATTACGAGTTATGTCCTTTCTATGTCCCTCCTATTGACCAATCAAAATCCACCTCTCATATCACCTGCTTTGCTTCAAACAAAATGGCGATGCCCAGTCAATAATCGATGCCCGGTCTGATCGATGATCAAGATATATATATTATAATAAAACGGGCCTTGCTTCGCGAAGTGCATCAAATTACGTGAGCACCTTGATTGAAAACGTTAAAAGATTTGGAAAATATCTGTCGACGCCTAGTTGACGGTACACATCTTTTGCAAATCCTGCAGTCGACCGAAATCTGCACGTTGAAATCCATGTTGTTTACGAACCGGATGTCGATTTCGTTTCGCGATTTTGATTGGAGTATGCATAGACTCCTTAGTCCAGCCAAACTATAACTCCATAATTGTAGCCTAGTTCGGCAAAGGTGGAAACTGGACTTTTACAATCAAACTCCCTTGCCTCGGGAAGATGCCAATCCATTTGTTTTTGGAAAGTTAGTTTTGTTTCAATTTCAATTATTTCTTTTAGAGCGAATAAACACAGATGGAGGCACGCAGGACCACCGCCTCACAGCATCACCGCTGTGAAGGGATCCGTCCATATCGTTGCCAGTCGGGGTTTTGTGGACTACATCCTACACAACTCCACAGCTCAGGATCTGTTGGCGTGGGTGAAGAAGACAAGTGTTCCAGATGAGACGTTCTTCTCCACCCTCAACCATAACCCCCACCTAGCGGTGCCAGGAGCTTATAACGGTAGGGCTATTCTACTCCCAGCCATAACACCCACCTAGCAGTGCCAGGAGCTTATAACAGTGGGGCTATCCTACTCTCAGCCATAACCTCCACCTAGCGGTGCCAGGAGCTTATAACGGTAGGGCTATTCTACTCCCAGCCATAACACCCATCTAGCAGTGTCAGGAGCTTATAACAGTGGGGCTTTTCTACTCTCAGCCATAACACCCACCTAGAGGTGCCTCGTGCTTATAACGGTAGGGCTATTCTACTCTCAGCCATAACACCCACCTAGCGGTGCCAGGTGCTTATAACGGTAGGGCTATTCTACTCTCAGCCATAACACCCACCTAGCGGTGCCAGGTGCTTATAACGGTAGGGCTATTCTACTCTCAGCCATAACACCCACCTAGAGGTGCCTCGTGCTTATAACAGTAGGGCTATTCTACTTTCAACAATAACCTCCACCTAGAGGTGCCTGGTGCTTATAACAGTAGGGCTATTCTACTCTCAGCCATAACACCCACCTAGCGGTGCCAGGAGCTTATAACAGTAGGGCTATTCTACTCTCAGCCATAACACCCACCTAGCGGTGCCAGGAGCTTATAACAGTAGGGCTATTCTACTCTCAGCCAGAACTCCCACCTAGCGGTGCCAGGAGCTTATAACGGTAGGGCTATTCTACTTTCAACAATAACACCCACCTTGCGGTGCCTGGTGCTTATAACGGTAGGGCTATTCTACTCCCAGCCATAACACCCACCTAGCGGTGCCAGGAGCTTATAACGGTAGGGCTATTCTACTTCCAGCCATAACACCCATCTAGCAGTGTCAGGAGCTTATAACAGTGGGGCTATTCTACTCTCAGCCAGAACTCCCACCTAGAGGTGCCTGGTGCTTATAACGGTAGGGCTATTCTACTTTCAGCCATAACACCCACCTAGAGGTGCCTGGTGCTTATAACGGTAGGGCTATTCTACTCTCAGCCATAACACCCACCTAGCGGTGCCAGGAGCTTATAACGGTAGGGCTATTCTACTTTCAACAATAACACCCACCTTGCGGTGCCTGGTGCTTATAACGGTAGGGCTATTCTACTTTCAGCCATAACACCCACCTAGAGGTGCCTGGTGCTTATAACGGTAGGGCTATTCTACTCTCAGCCATAACACCCACCTAGCGGTGCCAGGAGCTTATAACGGCAGGGCTATTCTACTCTCAGCCATAACACCCACCTAGCGGTGCCAGGAGCTTATAACGGTAGGGCTATTCTATTCTCAGCCATAACACCCACCTAGCGGTGCCAGGTGCTTATAACGGTAGGGCTATTCTACTCTCAGCCATAACACCCACCTAGCGGTGCCAGGTGCTTATAACGGTAGGGCTATTCTATTCTCAGCCATAACACCCACCTAGTGGTGCCAGGTGCTTATAACAGTGGGGCTTGCTACTCCCATTCATACCCCCAGTTAGCGGTGACAGGACCTTATAACGGTAGGACTATTCTACTTTCAACAATAACCTCCACCTAGCAGTGCCTGGAGCTTATAACGATAAGGTTATTCCGCTTTTGATAATCGAATTGGCGAATCGGAATAAGAGGTCTAATTTTAGATTGCATCTTTGCGTATAGTTTGTGAGCCAAACTCATTAAAATTGAGAAAAGCGCTCGTAATATCACTATCCAACAATCAACAGATGTGAAACGCGGGGTTTACTGAAAATAATCACAAACCGAAGACAACATCGCTACTGAACTCTTCACTATAAATTGTAGAAAAAGATGGCATTTTGGAGACATTTTGAAATTGTATGACGTAAACCAACTCAATCCCACAACAAAAGTAAGTACAAACTAGGAACACCCTGTTTTTATAACAACTGTGCATGTCATCGCGTCCCAATTGCGTAGATCGATGCTCATGATGTCAATCACTGGATTCTCTGATCCAGACTTGATTATTTACAGACCGCCGTCATATAGCTGGACTTTGATGCGTGTGGCGTTAAACAACAAACAAACAAACAAACAAACAAGCAAACAAAACAAATATGACAAATGTGTGTGTATTTCAGGACCGCCGGACAATCCAAAAAATCCATTTCTAGCCAGGTTTAAGAATTGGTATGGACAGAAGATCGGCAACTGGTCTTGCACGGGCAAGCTTGTTCACTCCGTGTGTGTGTTTGGAGCTGGAGATCTGCCCATGCTGACCACTCGGCCACACCTGTTTGCTAACAAGTTCTACTGGGACTTCCAGCATCTGGCGCTGGATTGTCTGGAGGAGTGGAACTACAACCAGACCAGGGACGAGTTTCTCGGGGAGTCCACCTTCAACGCGTCCTATTACAAAACACTGGAATTTGTTAAGAATAAAATTGAATAAAGTCGTTTGACAGACGATGGTCTTCTGTTGCTCTGTTGTTGTGACGTGTTGTCTTCCGATGCTGTTTCAGTCGCACATGCAGCGTATACGTACAGAATGTAACCGCTGCATTTTGATGGAGTAGGGGAGTGGATTAAACATCTATCCCTCCCTATTCCCGCACAGTGAATGAGTGAGTATGGTTTTACGCCGCTTTGAGCAATATTCCAGCAATATCACTGCGGCGACCAGAAATGGGCTTCACACGTTGTACCCATGTCGGGACTCGAACCCGGGTCTTCGTCGTAACGAGTGAACGCTTTGACCACTAGGCTACCCCACCGCCCCTTATTCCCGCACAGAGCAGGTCCTCAGTACCCTAGGGGCGGTCGGATAGCCTAGTGGTTAAAAGCGTTCGCTCGTCTTGCTGAAGACCCGGGTTCGAATCCCGACATGGGCACAATGTGTGAAGCCCATTCCCGGTGTCCCCCACCGTGATATTGCTGGAATATTGCTAAAAGCCGAGACATGGAGGACAACAAAGACCACCACCAGGAAAGTGCAGACTTTCATCAACAGCTGCCTGAGAAGAATCCTCCAGATCCACGCCCAACACCATCAGCAACTCAGACCTGTGGCAGCGTACCAACCAACCGAAGATGAGATCCGGCGCAGAACATGGGGATGGATTGGGCACACCCTGAGGAAGCCAGTCAGTAACATCACCAGACAGGCGCTGTCATGGAACCCCCAGGGAAAACGAAAAAGAGAACGGCCAAGAAACACCTGGCGACAGGACCTCGAGGCAGACAGCAAGAAGATGGGACACACCTGGAAACCACTAGAGAGGGCAGCCCAGGACCGAGGACTCTGGTGGACTGTTGTCGGCGGCCTATGCTCCGGGAGGAGCGACGGGCATAACTACTATTGCTAAAAGCGGCGTAAAGAGTACCGCTAACAACAAGATGTTTTTCGTAATCAGAAAAGAGATGGGCAAAAGGAAGCTGGAAAGCGAAAGTAAAGCAATCAAAAGTGTTACTTTATATCAAATAAGATGTTACTTTTATGAATAATACGAAAACGAGGATTTGCAAAGAAAAAAGCAACGAAGTAACTAAAGCAATCAAAAGTGTTACTTTATCAAATAAGATGTTACTTTTATGAATAATACGAAAAATGAGCATTTGCAAAGAAAAAAAGCAACTTAATAACTAAAGCAATCATAAGTGTTCCTTTATATCAAATAAGATGTTACTTTTATGAATAATACGAAAAATGAGCATTTGCAAAGAAAAAAAGCAACTTAATAACTAAAGCAATCATAAGTGTTACTTTATATCAAATAAAATGTTACTTTTATGAATAATACGAAAAACGAGCATTTGCAAAGAAAAAAAGCAACTTAGTAACTAAAGCAATCAAAGGTGTTTCTTCATATCAAAAAAATGTTACTTTTATGAATAATACAAAAATGAGCATTTGCAAAGAAAAAAAGCAACTTAGTAACTAAAGCAATCAAAAGTGTTTCTTTATATCAAATAAGATGTTACTTTTATGAATAATACAAAAATGAGCATTTGCAAAGAAAAAAACCAACTTAGTAACTAAAGCAATCAAAAGTGTTTCTTTATATCAAATAAGATGTTACTTTTATGAATAATACGAAAATGAGCATTTGCAAAGAAAAAAACCAACTTAGTAACTAAAGCAATCAAAAGTGTTTCTTTATATCAAATAAGATGTTACTTTTATGAATAATACGAAAACGAGCATTTGCAAAGAAAAAAACGTTATATCGCCAGCGACTAGAAGGACTATAATAGGGGAAAAATATGAGTATGGAAACTGTCAGGAATCAGATGGACAGATCAACACGTACGTGTCTTAGTAACCTTGTAGCCATGTCACAGTTAAATGATCAACAGTGTAAGTCAATATCCGATCCCATAGATGCTCGATTAGATTCAGGTCTGGGCTTCGAGAAGGCCAAGGCAGAGTCTCAATGTATGGCCTCAAGTTCCAGTATGTTCTCGAGCCTGACACCAGGCTAAACGGTCCAGCGTGTTTTGGCGTGAGAGGAGTGGACGTCTTATTCGTCTTCTGGTCCTTAGTCCTGCTGGATAGTCTGGTCCATATTTGATTATTTACAGACCGCCGTCTAGCTGGAATATTGCAGAGTGCGGCGTTAAACAACAAAACAACATAATGTGTATATTATTGGGCATTACGTCAAATATGGATAAATTGTAAAATTAATCTTGAATTTAGATGTGCAAATCATATTTACAGTTACTTCATGGCGCATATGGCACCGGACAACAAATTTAATAATGACGGGAGGTATATGGGTCTTTCACACATTTTGACCCTGAACATGTTCAGATCGTAACTGCATGTTTAGTTTTAAACGCGTCAATTGTTTTTAAAGTTAGGGACAAATAAAATGTTTAGGTTTAGGTTTAGGATCTAAACACGTGTTTTACAGTGTATGCTAGATTATGGATTAAGATCGCTTCGTGGAGTGAGGCCCTGGCAGGGCTCGATTATTTACAGACTCAGATTTTATTCATTTAACTTTCATATATTTACCAAATAATATTACACCTGGCCTTTTTCAAATCACCTTTCGATAATCGTAACATAATCACGCTTCCCTCCCCAAATATTTTTTAAAAGGATTGAGTTCAAGCGTTTAAACACCTTTGTAGTTGGATTTGGAAACGTTATAAAAAGATGCGTGAAAAGGGGGAATATCTGAGATTCTACCCAATGTTAATTACCTAACACACCGCCTCCGTGGTCCAGTGGGTACAGCGTCTGCCCGGAACGCGGAAGGTCCGGGGTTGGATTTGGAAACGTCATAAAAAGATGCGTGAAAAGGGGGAATATCTGAGATTCTACCCAATGTTAATAACCTAACACACCGCCTCCGTGGTCCAGTGGGTACAGCGTCTGCCCGGAAAGCGGAAGGTCCTGGGTTCGATCCCCAGCCATAATAAGATGCATGAAAAGGGGGAATATCTGAGATTCTACCCAATGTTAATTACCTAACACACCGCCTCCGTGGTCCAGTGGGTACATCGTCTGCCCGGAAAGCGGAAGGTCCGGGGTTCGATCCCCAGCCATAAAAAGATGCGTGAAAAGGGGGAATATCTGAGATTCTACCCAATGTTAATTACCTAACACACCGCCTCCGTGGTCCAGTGGGTACATCGTCTGCCCGGAAAGCGGAAGGTCCGGGGTTCGATCCCCAGCCATAAAAAGATGCATGAAAAGGGGGAATATCTGAGATTCTACCCAATGTTAATTACCTAACACACCGCCTCTGTGGTCCATGGGTACAGCGTCCGCCCGGAAAGCGACGGTCCGGGGTTTGATCCCCAGACGCGTCATACCTAAAGACGACAAAAGATGGTACTTGTTGTTACCCTGCCTGGCGCTCGGAATTAAGGGGCTAAAACAAGGACTGGTCGGCTGGGAGTCAGTAAACTGTATCCCCATTTTCACTTCAGCTAATAATCTAATCTGCCGGGCATATAAAAGTATGCACCCATGGTTGACGGTACCTAAAAGTGAAACAAATAAGGTGAGGTGAAATGGGGTTTAACGTCGCGTCCAAGATTATTGCACTGATATAGCGACGTGCATGTACGTGTGTGTGGCTGCTTGTACTAGTCCGGACTGATGCCGATTTATAGTGCTTGCTCACTGAGATACCATGCCGCAGTTTAACATGAATACCCCACTCAGACACAGTATACTGACTCCGAGCCGACCATGCAGTTCTTGTTTTAGCCCCTTAATGCCGAGCGTCAGACAGGGTAACAACAAGTATTATCTCTTAACGTCTTTTGGTATGACGCGGTCGGGGATCGAACCCCCGACCTTCCGCTCTCCGGGCGGACGCTCTACCACTAGACCACGGAGGCGGTCGAAACAAACAAGAAATGGTTATAAGATGGTGATGTATAAGATACGTGCATCAAAGTCGTGTTTTGGACTTTAATTCGCAGTGTTTCGGCGACTGTTTTCATTCAGCCTAGTAACGTTTTGATAACGTTTGGAATTTAAATCCGATACTGAAGTGTATACTTTCTTTGGGGATTTCATCGAAAACATTAATGTCCTTCAGACAGCTGAGAAAATAAGAACTTGTCTGCCATAAAAATTACATTGTTGGAAGGGGATTTTTCTATTAAAACAATATATGGTTTTGCAGCTGTAAATGAAAAAGAAATCTACTCTCCAGACAAAATCATCCCACCTCCGAATATCAAATTGTCTGTCCCTACGGGGACCTGGAATATAAGACAGTCTATACCTTTAACGTCAATTCCATTGATATATTGTTTCCAATAAAGTCATATCAAACTGATCTTGAATAACACCAATACTTTGAAACAAGTGCACTACACCAGTCTCTGTCACCTTGTCCCCTTATACTATTAACCACGTGTATAATAATGTATCTAAGCATACAGCATCACATGTAGGGCCGAATAGAGGTGAGATGAAATGGGGTTTAACGTCGCATCCAATATTATTGCACTTATATAGCGTGTGTGTGGCTGCTTGTACTAGTCCGGACTAATGCCGATTTTTAGTGCTAGCCCACAGAGATACCATGCCGCAGTTTAACATGAATACCCCACTCAGACACAGTATACTGACTCCGAGCCGACCAGTCCTTGTTTTATCCCCTTAATGCCGAGCGTCAGACAGGGTAACAACAAGTACAGTCTTTTAACGTCTTTTGGTATGACGCGGGGATCGAACCCCGGACCTTCCGCTCTCCGGGCGGACGCTATACCACTAGACCACGGAGACGGGCGACTGAACAGAAATATAGAACGAAATTAGCACTCGTAACAAAGACCCTTCTGTTGAGTGAACAACATCCGGGAACTCGCATGTTTTATTTTTGTTTTTGTTTGTTTGTTGTTCAACGCCGCACTCAGCAATATTCCAGCGATATGACGGCGGTCTGTAAATAATCGAGTCTGGACAAGACAATCCAGTGATTGATATCATGAACATCGATCTTCGCAATTGGGATACGATGACATGCGTCAACCAAGTCAGCGAGCCTGACCACCCGATCCCGTTAGTCGCCTCTTACCACAAGCATAGTTGCCTTTTACGGCAAGCATGGGTTGCTGAAGACCTATTCTACCCCGGATCCTCACGGTCGATAATCGCATGTAAAGTACATGCCGGTAAAATATTATTATCAGTTTGTAGGAGTACAGACTTTATTTTATTGCAAGAGGTAAAATCTCCACACATACAACAAAGAGACGCGGTGCCAATATATCTCACAAAGAACCAGAATTGATAGTAGCTCTACAATTTCCATCTGGAAAAGTTTTACCCAAATTCTAAATACAGGGCCAAAGTTAAAGGCTTCGAGCGCCGTGTCAATAAAATTCCATTCTGCAGTGTCAAAGACTTTCTCACATTAGTTGCAGCTAAAAGATCAGGTATTTCATATTCCTCACAATAATTCATCAAATCATAAAGTATTCTATATTTTCTATATATTCTATATTGAACCTTTTTCTAAACTTGTTTGTGTGGCTGGTGCTTATAACACGTAAGCTAGGCTCGCCACGCCGAAGAACCTGGTTCGATAGGTACAATATGTGAAAGCCGTGATGTTGCTGGAAAAGTGCTGAAGGCCGCGTAAAACTATAATCACTCACTCACTCACTTACTCACCAGGAACGAAACTACCCTTATAGCAGAAAAGCAGTTGCTTACACCTACAAAAGACACGTTTTGTTACACCTAAAAAAGCACATTTTCTTATAAGTAAACCTCAATATATCATCTAAGCAGTAAATTATAAACTCAACCCCACACGGTCGATTGTGTATTGTACAACTTAAAAATCGGAATCTTAACGAATGAACATGTAAAAACACACAAATATAATATCTATTCATGTTGTGTGTGTGTGTGTGTGTGGGGGGGGGGGGGGGGGGGGGCAAACACACATATATATAAAACATCAGAATTAATAAAGTACCAATATTTGTTACAAATAAAATCTAACATAAAACGGTACAAAAAATGCAGAAAATAGCGTTTAAGAGCATCTAATTTTTAAAAATTTCTGAGGAGCATGTCCTCAAGGGGCCCTCATAAATTAATTTGGCTCACAGTTAAAATTAGCCAAGTTGCGCCACTGCTCACCCTAGTTAATAACGTCGAGGTTTCTATCATAGCTGAAAGTAGTAACAGTCTGTTATGAAATTTGAATCTATTCCAAATTTATATTTTTCTGTATCGCCAAAAACAAGTTAGATCCTACATGTATCGTATAAAACAGTTCGGCCTTCACCACCTACTGCCTGTATTTCGTCATTGCCCATGTTATTGAAGGGAGACTAACCTCGATCTTCTGTCGTGGAGATATTAATAGAAGAAAGCGGTGTTGAAGATGTTTAAACCCCCATCGTAAAATGTCCCTACAAAATCGGTTTAGCCCACTGACTTCCTCGCAAGACATCATGTACTTTCACATCTCAGTCCGACAGGACATCTGTTCTCTTCACATTAATTTCCTGTTCATCGGTTTTGTTGTTTGATTTTGATCTCGGTCGCTATGGAAGTGAAATGAAAGGACTTTATTTCATGGATGACTTTCACATAAGGACCAAAACAACTCGTGACCGGTGCTGTCTGTGTCGACCCACACAAGATTTGTCTGAGGAAAATAATATATAATGGAGCATACCTAGTAGTTTTGAACTAATAATACTTATCAAAATGGTCAGTTTGTCGGATACCTCCAGACATTCAGGGGTAAGACAGGAAAGTTTGGTGGTCAGTTGTTAGCGCAGGTGTCGCGGTAATAAATAATGGCTCGTTGATGCAGGAGAAATGATATCGAAAATTGCCCCATGCGAAAAGGGCCCCAGACAATTATGGGAAGATGACCCCAGATTTTAGTGAAAATGGCCCCGAATTCTAGAGAAAATGGATCCTAAATAAAACTTAGCTAACAAGACTATATTTGTAAATACGATTTCTACATGAGACCCGACCCGTGCAGATTCCCGGGTAGAATAGGTCTTCAGCAACCCATGCTTGCCGTAAAAGGCGACTATGCTTGTCATAAAAGGATACTAAGGGGATCGGTTGGTCAGGCGCGCTGACTTGGTTGAAACATGTCTATGATCTCAATGGCGTGGATCGATGCTCATGATATTAATCACTGGATTGTCTGGTCCAGACACGATTATTTACAGACCGCCATCATATAGCTGGAATATTGCTGAGTGCAGCGTAAAACAACAACCAAAACCAAACCAAAAAACATGAGACCCCTTCCCCACATTTGCCCTTATTAATCGCTATTTTTTTGTCCCATTTAGTTGTAGAAACCATTGTCACTCAAAAATCCAGAGACAGCCTCCAAGGTAGTGGTAGGGCGTCCGCCTGGAGAGCGGAAGGTCCGGGTCATTCCAAAAGACATTAAATGATGGTACTTGTTTTTACCTTGCCTGGAGCTCGGCATTAAGGGGCTAAAAAAAGGACTGGTTGGCTTGAAGTCAGTACACTGAGTGTCTGAGTGGGGTGTTCATGTTCAGTGGACTAGCACTATAAGATCAGCATCAGTCCGGACTAGTACAAGCATCCACACACACATTCACATTCTCGTTGCTATATAAGTGCAATAATCTTGGCTGCGGGGTTAAACCCCATTTCACATCACCTCATCTAAAAATCTAGATAGGCCTGAGACAGTGTGGTATACTTGAGAAGATAATAATTTTGGTATTGACTTAGTTTGGTGTTTACAATAACAATACTTCAGGAGAACTTTCACACTCCACCCTACCCACCTCGAAAATCAAACAGTCATTTCTGAAGTTGGCCAATGAGAAATTCATTGTTTATTTTCAAGGGTTATTTCTTCAATGACGAGCAGAACTCAATCAATACATCGGACACGGAGGAACTCCTGCGCGACCATGTGGCCCTGACCGGGGACGGCGACCTCGTGTTCCGGAGGATCAACACTGCGTGGGCCATTGTGTGTCAGATACTGCTGTCTGTGAGTACCCTGTCTGTCAGATACTGCTGTCTGTCAGTACCCTGTGTGTCAGATACTGCTGTCTGTGAGTACCCTGTCTGTCAGATACTGCTGTCTGTGAGTACCCTGTCTGTCAGATACTGCTGTCTGTGAGTACCCTGTCTGTCAGATACTGCTGTCTGTGAGTACCCTGTCTGTCAGATACTGCTGTCTGTGAGTACCCTGTCTGCCAGATACTGCTGTCTGTGAGAACCCTGTCTGTCAGATACTGCTGTCTGTGAGTACCCTGTCTGTCAGATATTGCTGTCTGTGGGTACCCTGTCTGTCAGATACTGCTGTCTGTGAGTACCTTGTCTGTCAGATACTGCTGTCTGTGAGTACCCTGTCTGCCAGATACTGCTGTGTGTGAGTACCCTGTCTGTCAGATACTGCTGTCTGTGAGTACCTTGTCTGTCAGATACTGCTGTCTGTGAGTACCTTGTCTGTCAGATACTGCTGTCTGTGAGTACCCTGTCTATCAGATACTGCTGTCTGTGAGTACCCTGTCTATCAGATACTGCTTTCTGTGAGTACCCTGTCTGTCAGATACTGCTGTCTGTGAGAACCTTGTCTGTCAGATACTGCTGTCTGTGAGTACCCTGTCTGTCAGATATTGCTGTCTGTGAGTACCCTGTCTGTCAGATACTGCTGTCTGTGAGTACCCTGTCTGTCAGATACTGCTGTCTGTGAGTACCCTGTCTGTCAGATACTGCTGTCTGTGAGTACCCTGTCTGTCAGATACTGCTGTCTGTGTGTATCCTGTCTGTTAGATACTGCTGTCTGTGAGTACCCTGTCTGTCAGATACTGCTGTCTGTGAGTACCCCGTCAGATATTGCTGTCTGTGGGTACCCTGTCTGTCAGATACTGCTGTCTGTGAGTACCTTGTCTGTCAGATACTGCTGTCTGTGAGTACCCTGTGTGTCAGATACTGCTGTCTGTGAGTACCCTGTCTGTCAGATACTGCTGTCTGTGGGTACCCTGTCTGTCAGATACTGCTGTCTGTGAGTACCCTGTCTGTCAGATACTGCCGTCTGTGAGTACCCTGTCTGTCAGATACTGCTGTCTGTGGGTACCCTGTGTGTCAGATACTGCTGTCTGTGAGTACCCTGTCTGTCAGATACTGCTGTCTGTGGGTACCCTGTGTGTCAGATACTGCTGTCTGTGAGTACCCTGTCTGTCAGATACTGCTGTCTGTGAGTACCCTGTCTGTCAGATACTGCTGTGTGTGTGTATCCTGTCTGTTAGATACTGCTGTCTGTGGGTACCCTGTCTGTCAGATGCTGCTGTCTGTGAGTACCCTGTCCGTCAGATATTGCTGTCTGTGGGTACCCTGTCTGTCAGATACTGCTGTCTGTGAGTACCCTGTCTGTCAGATACTGCTGTCTGTGGGTACCCTGTCTGTCAGATACTGCTGTCTGTGAGTACCCTGTCTGTCAGATACTGCTGTCTGTGGGTACCCTGTCTGTCAGATACTGCTGTCTGTGAGTACCCTGTCTGTCAGATACTGCTGTCTGTGAGTACCCTGTCTGTCAGATACTGCTGTCTGTGAGTATCCTGTGTGTCAGATACTGCTGTCTGTGGGTACCCTGTGTGTCAGATACTGCTGTCTGTGAGTACCCTGTCTGTCAGATACTGCTGTCTGTGGGTACCCTGTCTGTCAGATATTGCTGTGTGTGAGTACCCTGTCTGTCAGATACTGCTGTCTGTGAGTACCTTGTCTGTCAGATACTGCTGTCTGTGAGTACCCTGTCTGTCAGATACTGCTGTCTGTGAGTACCCTGTCTGTCAGATACTGCTGTCTGTGAGTATCCTGTCTGTCAAATACTGCTCTCTGTGAGTACCCTGTCCGTCAGATACTGCTGTCTGTGAGTACCCTGTCTGTCAAATACTGCTGTCTGTGAGTACCCTGTCTGTCAAATACTGCTCTCTGTGAGTACCCTGTCTGTCAGATACTGCTGTCTGTGTGTATCCTGTCTGTCAAATACTGCTCTCTGTGAGTACCCTGTGTGTCAGATACTGCTGTCTGTGACTAGTGTGAGTACCCTGTGTGTCAGATACTGCTGTCTGTGGGTACCCTGTCTGTCAGATACTGCTGTCTGTGAGTACCCTGTCTGTCAGATACTGCTGTCTGTGAGTACCCTGTCTGTCAGATACTGCTGTCTGTGAGTACCCTGTCTGTCAGATACTGCTGTCTGTGGGTACCCTGTCTGTCAGATGCTGCTGTCTGTGAGTACCCTGTCAGTTAGATACTGCTGTCTGTGGGTACCCTGTCTGTCAGATACTGCTGTCTGTGGGTACCCTGTCTGTCAGATACTGCTGTCTGTGAGTACCTTGTCTGTCAGATATTGCTGTCTGTGGGTACCTTGTCTGTCAGATACTGCTGTCTGTGAGTACACTGTCTGTCAGATACTGCTGTCTGTGGGTACCTTGTCTGTCAGATACTGCTGTCTGTGAGTACCCTGTCTGTCAGATACTGCTGTCTGTGGGTACCTTGTCTGTCAGATACTGCTGTCTGTGAGTACCCTGTGTGTCAGATACTGCTGTCTGTGGGTACCTTGTCTGTCAGATACTGCTGTCTGTGAGTACCCTGTCTGTCAGATACTGCTGTCTGTGGGTACCCTGTCTGTCAGATACTGCTGTCTGTGAGTACCTTGTCTGTCAGATACTGCTGTCTGTGAGTACCCTGTCTGCCAGATACTGCTGTCTGTGAGTACCCTGTCTGTCAGATACTGCTGTCTGTGAGTACCTTGTCTGTCAGATACTGCTGTCTGTGAGTACCTTGTCTGTCAGATACTGCTGTCTGTGAGTACCCTGTGTGTCAGATATTGCTGTCTGTGAGTACCCTGTCTGTTAGATACTGCTGTCTGTGAGTACCCTGTCTGTCAGATATTGCTGTCTGTGAGTACCCTGTCTGTCCGATACTGCTGTCTGTGAGTACCCTGTCTGTCAGATACTGCTGTCTGTGAGTACCCTGTCTGTCAGATACTGCTGTCTGTGAGTACCCTGTGTGTCAGATACTGCTGTCTGTGAGTACCCTGTCTGTCAGATACTGCTGTCTGTGAGTATCCTGTGTTTCAGATACTGCTGTCTGTGCGTATCCTGTCTGTCAGATACTGCTGTCTGTGAGTACCTTGTCTGTCAGATACTGCTGTCTGTGAGTACCCTGTGTGTCAGATACTGCTGTCTGTGAGTACCCTGTGTGTCAGATACTGCTGTCTGTGAGTACCCTGTGTGTCAGATACTGCTGTCTGTGGGTACCCTGTCTGTCAGATACTGCTGTCTGTGGGTACCCTGTCTCTCAGATACTGCTGTCTGTGAGTACCCTGTCTGTCAGATACTGCTGTCTGTGAATATCTTGTCTGTCAGATACTGCTGTCTGTGAGTACCCTGTCTGTCAGATACTGCTGTCTGTGAGTACCCTGTCTGTCAGATACTGCTGTCTGTGAGTACCCTGTGTGTCAGATACTGCTGTCTGTGAGTACCTTGTCTGTCAGATACTGCTGTCTGTGAGTACCCTGTCTGTCAGATACTGCTGTCTGTGAGTACCCTGTCTGTCAGATACTGCTGTCTGTGGGTATCCTGTGTGTCAGATATTGCTGTCTGTGAGTACCCTGTCTGCCTTGATAACTGACTAAATGTATCTAGACCCGTGAAGATCCTGGGTAGAATAGGTCTTCAGCAACCCATGCTTGCCGTAAAAGGCGACTATGCTTGTCGTGAAAGGCGACTAACAGGATCGGATGGTCAGGCTCGCTGACTTGATTGATGCATGTCATCGATCCCAATTGCATGGATCGATGCTCATGATGTCAATCACTGGATTGTCTGACCCAGACTCGATTATTTACAGACCGCCGTCACATAGCTGGAAGATTGCTGAGTGAGGGGTTAAATAACAAACAAACAAACAAATGTATCTGGGATGCAACAAAATCGCAATCATTTTTTTCACTTTACTTTCCCTCTCATGGGGACTTCCAGGGCATAAAGGTTGCCCTGGCAATTTGTATTGGTAGCATTGAAAACCTATAGGCTGCTCACTATGTCAGTTTCACCCATGGCGCCAATGGTTTATAGTTTGTCTAAGATAATAGATAAGCTTTTGGTTATTGGGGTATTTTGTCCAGGTGGTTGATTTTGATTCGGTATCCATTTTTAGCAGGTATTCAAATTTGTTTAACCACCTATTTCTTGACATTTGGGTATTTTAATTTGAAAACCTGTTTCGTAATAAACCCTGTAAATCATTTAAAACTATGTGAATAGTAGTAGGCCCATCTGCATTTGCTTGCGGCTCCCTTTCTGGAAAATCATTTTTGTTTGCAAAAGCTAGCATTGTAAGAAAGGTGCTATCGTTTTAATTACCAGTCAGCAACATTTACATTGACTAGGCAGGATGTGCTTCACGTTCGGCTGATTCACAATCATTTTATCTAACAGTTGTAACATGCACAACTGTTTTATCTAACAGTTGTAACATGTGCAACTGTTTTATCTTATAGTTGTAACATGTGCAACTGTTTTATCTTATAGTTGTAACATACGCGACTGTTTTATCTAATAGTTGTAACATGCGCGACTGTTTTATCTAACAGTTGTAACATGCGCAGCTGTTTTAACTAACCAGAGACCATATGATATTATTATATGGTCTCTGATCTAACTGTTGTAACATGCGCAACTGTTTTATCTAACAGTTGTAACATGTGCAACTGTTTTATCTACCAGTTGTAACATGCGCAACTGTTTTATCTTATAGTTGTAACATGCGCGACTGTTTTATCTAATAGTTGTAACATGCGCGACTGTTTTATCTAACAGTTGTAACATGCACAACTGTTTTAACTAACCAGAGACCATATGATATTATTATATGGTCTCTGATCTAACTGTTGTAACATGCGCAACTGTTTTATCTAACAGTTGTAAAATGTGCAACTGTTTTATCTAACAGTTGTAACATGCGCAACTGTTTTATCTAATAGTTGTAATCATAGTAATATACGCATTGATTTTATTTCATTAGCGTATGTATAGGTTTTTTTGTGTATTTGATACGCTAGGATTTGATTTGTCTACATATTTAAGTTGATATAATGCATATTTTACGAAAATACACAGCTTATGTTGAGCTCTGTTATCCAAGTGTGGTTGATGTATATATAAATATTGACTACACATTGATGCAAAACTGGGAACACAGCGAATGAATCCCCTTCCCTTTTTTGATTTTGGCATCACAGTGAAAAGTACCCTTTTCTTTTTCCATTTGATAGCTAGATCAAGTAATAAACATTGGAAATGCCTAACTTTGCAAAATAATCCTTAAGTTCTGTAACAAAAATATGATTTTGTCGCATCCTCCCTTTCAGATTGCAGGGGGCACGGGTGGCCCAGTCGTCTAAGGCGCCGCGATTCAACTCACTCACTCACTCACTCACTTTCAGATTGCGCTGCTGACTGGCTCGTTCATCATCCCCGTGTTCTGCCTGCAGAGCGCATGTGGAGCAGACGACATAGCGCTTGTAATCTACATCCATGGGTGCTTCTGGTTCATTTTCCTGGCGTTCGACAGATACTACCGACAGCAACACTATGTCAACAGACTCAATGGCTACCTGGAGTTCTATAGGAGGACCAAAAATATTCGTAGAATGCCGTTCTTGATCACATCCGGAGGTAATACTTTCACATGACATTTGTTTGTCTGTTCTTAAGGCTGTATTACATGCACGTCACTGTATATAAGTGCAATAATCTTGGATGCGGCATTAAACCCCATTTCACCTCACCTCACCTCACCTCACCTCACCTCACCTCACCTACGGGATCGGGTGGTCAGGCTCGCTGACCTGGTTGATGCATGCCATCGATCCCAAATGCGTTGATCAATGCTCAATGATCATGATATCAATCACTGGTCCAGACCTGATAATTTACAGACTGCCGTCATATCGCTGAAATATAGCTGAGTGTACTGTTAAACAACAAACCAACCAACCAAATCACCTCACCTGTGGGTAACTTAAGTTATAACCATTGAGGTGAGGTGAGGTGAAATTGGTTTTAACGTCGCGTCCAGAATTATTGCACTTATATAGCGACGTGCATGCATGTGTGTGTGTGTGTGTGGCTGCTTGTACTAGTCCGGACTGATGCCGATTTATAGTGCTAGCTCACTGAGATACCATGCCAAAGTTTAACATGAATACCCCACTATGTTCCTGCAGTTTCTGTTGAAGTTTAAAAAAATCAGCAATTTAGGCTTAAAAAATTATAGAATTGGTGCTCAGGCAATGGCTTTTGAAAATATAGTGCGGGCAGTTGGTGTCTTCTATTTTATTTTTGGTTGTCCAAACTAGTATTTAACCAAATGAACAGTTGTTCAACCAAATGAACAGTTGTGCAACCAAATGAACAGTTGTGCAACCAAATGAACAGTTGTGCAACCAAATGAACAGTTGTGCACCGTCAACCTGGGAAAGGCCCTCCCTACATAAATGTATTCCTTGATGAGTAAATGCTGGAATACAGTATTGGACTTCCGTTGGGCTTGGAATATTATTGCACTTATATAGCGACGTGCATGCATGTGTGTGTGTGTGTGTGGCTGCTTGTACTAGTCCGGACTGATGCCGATTTATAGTGCTAGCTCACTGAGATACCATGCCAAAGTTTAACATGAATACCCCACTATGTTCCTGCAGTTTCTGTTGAAGTTTAAAAAAATCAGCAATTTAGGCTTAAAAAATTATAGAATTGGTTCTCAGGCAATGGCTTTTGAAAATATAGTGCGGGCAGTTGGTGTCTTCTATTTTATTTTTGGTTGTCCAAACTAGTATTTAACCAAATGAACAGTTGTTCAACCAAATGAACAGTTGTGCAACCAAATGAACAGTTGTGCAACCAAATGAACAGTTGTGCAACCAAATGAACAGTTGTGCAACCAAATGAACAGTTGTGCACCGTCAACCTGGGAAAGGCCCTCCCTACATAAATGTATTCCTTGATGAGTAAATGCTGGAATACAGTATTGGACTTCCGTTGGGCTTGGAATATTTAAGGATTACTTGTGTTTTGTTTTTTAAATGGAAATAGAAATGAAACGTGCGGCGAACTTTATGATTTTGCAGGCAGTGCCTGAGAACCAAGACTATTTTTTTTTAGCCTTACAAAAATTACAATAATTTCTTATTATCCTTTTGTACTTGATAATTTAATCCAAAACTTTCAAGTGGGAGGAAAAAATAAACTTGTAACAATATTTCAAAATATTCATTAACTTCCAAATATGATAATTCAAATATGATAATTCAAGTACACCAAAAAAGCCCTCATCGTACCTTGTCCTTTATTGTTTCATTAGTTTCTGCTGGTTTTTTGGTAACTTAACTGTCTCCGTGGTTGTGTGGTAGAGCATCCGCCCGTAGAGCAGAAGGTCAGGGGATCGATCCCCAGCCGCGTCATACCAAAAGACGTTAAAAGATGGCACTTGTTGTTACCCTGCCTGGCATTCGCGTAAAACAAGGACTGCTCGGCTAGAGAGACAGTATACTATGTCTGAGTGGAGTATTCATGTTAAATTGCGGCATGGTATCTCAGTGGGCTAGCACTATAAAATAGGCATCAGTCCGGACTAGTACAAGCAGCCACACACACACACACGTGCATGCACGTCACTGTATATAAGTGCAATAATCTTGGATGCGATGTTTAACCTCATTTCACCTCACCTCACCTACGGGATCGGGTGGTCAGGCTCGCTGACCTGGTTGATGCATGCCATCGATCCCAAATGCGTGGATCGATGCTCATGATATCAATCACTGGTCCAGACCTGATAATTTACAGACTGCCGTCATATCGCTGGAATATTGCTAAGTGTACTGTTAAACAACAAACCAACCAACCAAATCACCTCACCTATGGGTAACTTAAGTTATAACTAGTTAGGAATATTGCTAAGTGTACTGTTAAACAACAAACCAACCAACCAAATCACCTCACCTGTGGGTAACTTAAGTTATAACTATTTAGGAATATTGCTAAGTGTACTGTTAAACAACAAACCAACCAACCAAATCACCTCACCTGTGGGTAACTTAAGTTATAACTATTTAGGAATATTGCTGAGTGTACTGTTAAACAACAAACCAACCAACCAAATCACCTCACCTATGGGTAACTTAAGTTATAACTGTTGAAGAATATTGCTGAGTGTACTGTTAAACAACAAACCAACCAACCAAATCACCTCACCTGTGGGTAACTTAAGTTATAACTATTTAGGAATATTGCTGAGTGTACTGTTAAACAACAAACCAACCAACCAAATCACCTCACCTATGGGTAACTTAAGTTATAACTAGTTAGGAATATTGCTAAGTGTACTGTTAAACAACAAACCAACCAACCAAATCACCTCACCTATGGGTAACTTAAGTTATAACTAGTTAGGAATATTGCTAAGTGTACTGTTAAACAACAAACCAACCAACCAAATCACCTCACCTGTGGGTAACTTAAGTTATAACTATTTAGGAATATTGCTAAGTGTACTGTTAAACAACAAACCAACCAACCAAATCACCTCACCTATGGGTAACTTAAGTTATAACTGTTGAGGAATATTGCTAAGTGTACTGTTAAACAACAAACCAACCAACCAAATCACCTCACCTATGGGTAACTTAAGTTATAACTATTTAGGAATATTGCTAAGTGTACTGTTAAACAACAAACCAACCAACCAAATCACCTCACCTATGGGTAACTTAAGTTATAACTATTTAGGAATATTGCTAAGTGTACTGTTAAACAACAAACCAACCAACCAAATCACCTCACCTGTGGGTAACTTAAGTTATAACTATTTAGGAATATTGCTAAGTGTACTGTTAAACAACAAACCAACCAACCAAATCACCTCACCTGTGGGTAACTTAAGTTATAACTATTTAGGAATATTGCTGAGTGTACTGTTAAACAACAAACCAACCAACCAAATCACCTCACCTATGGGTAACTTAAGTTATAACTGTTGAAGAATATTGCTGAGTGTACTGTTAAACAACAAACCAACCAACCAAATCACCTCACCTGTGGGTAACTTAAGTTATAACTATTTAGGAATATTGCTGAGTGTACTGTTAAACAACAAACCAACCAACCAAATCACCTCACCTATGGGTAACTTAAGTTATAACTAGTTAGGAATATTGCTAAGTGTACTGTTAAACAACAAACCAACCAACCAAATCACCTCACCTATGGGTAACTTAAGTTATAACTAGTTAGGAATATTGCTAAGTGTACTGTTAAACAACAAACCAACCAACCAAATCACCTCACCTGTGGGTAACTTAAGTTATAACTATTTAGGAATATTGCTAAGTGTACTGTTAAACAACAAACCAACCAACCAAATCACCTCACCTATGGGTAACTTAAGTTATAACTGTTGAGGAATATTGCTAAGTGTACTGTTAAACAACAAACCAACCAACCAAATCACCTCACCTATGGGTAACTTAAGTTATAACTATTTAGGAATATTGCTAAGTGTACTGTTAAACAACAAACCAACCAACCAAATCACCTCACCTATGGGTAACTTAAGTTATAACTAGTTAGGAATATTGCTAGTTTCTAACTCACCCATTCTCTCAGTGATGTCTGTTCCAACCTTTTTTTTGAGTCCACTAGCGGGAAAATGTTGCTTGACATCAGTTTTTGCGTGTGTAAGTGTTGCAGACCACAGATAATATTTCAACAGTGAGAAAATATTCTTGGCATATTAATTCAAAGCTTCTAAACCACTTACCAACAGAAATATATTTTATAAGTGTGCTTCTTGATTGTGGTGATAAATAATAAATATGTTTAGGTTGCAAGTTTATTCTTTTGTGTTTTGATTTCCTTAGAAAAGCTGAAATTATGTCCTTAAGTTATGTAATCTAAGGGAGATTACTCCAGACCTTGAATTATCTCCCTTTGACTGTGAGCTGTGGTTAGAAACTTTGCCCAACAGTTTCAAAGAAAATTGCTTTGTAAACACCTCCACGTATATCAAGGAAGTCCTTCATGATTTCATATAAACTTTACTCAGCCAGCATTCATTCTCATGTCAGGAATCGAACCCGGATCTTCGGCGTGACGAGCGAACGCTTTAACCACAAGGCTACCCGACCGCCCCTCACCACATCTTAAATCTCTCCATTTTGACACATTACTAAATCACCATTTTACGGCATATTTTACTCTTGTGTTTAGAAATCTAAGTATTTGATATTTACCCAAAGAATTGAATTTATAACATATTTGTGATCACTGTTTTTCATCTAATCACTAATGATATATGACAGAATGTATGATTTTTAACATGCAAACCACAAGTAAGATTCTCTGTACACAGGCAATGCTTTGCTGCTGATAGTCACAAGGATCCTGGATGAGTACTGTCACAAGCCAGACAAGTGCTCCTTCCTGAAGAAAGAAAACTATATCCAGATAGTCATCGCCATGGAGACAGCCGTCATGCTGCTCTTCCTCGTCATGTACCTGGGTAAGATTCCTTCACCACCTGTGCGGGGCGGTCGGGTAGCCTAGTGGTTAAAGCGTTCGCTCGTCATGTACCTGGGTAAGATTCCTTCACCACCTGTGCGGGGCGGTCGGGTAGCCTAGTGGTTAAAGCGTTCGCTCGTCATGTACCTGGGTAAGATTCCTTCACCACCTGTGCGGGGCGGTCGGGTAGCCTAGTGGTTAAAGCCTTCGCTTGTCATGTACCTGGGTAAGATTCCTTCACCACCTGTGTGGGGCAGTCGGGTAGCCTAGTGGTTAAAGCGTTCGCTCGTCATGTACCTGGGTAAGATTCCTTCACCACCTGTGTGGGGCGGTCGGGTAGCCTAGTGGTTAAAGCGTTCGCTCGTCATGTACCTGGGTAAGATTCCTTCACCCCCTGTGTGGGGCGGTCGGGTAGCCTAGTGGTTAAAGCCTTCGCTCGTCATGTACCTGGGTAAGAATCCTTCACCACCTGTGTGGGGCGGTCGGGTAGCCTAGTGGTTAAAGCGTTCGCTCGTCATGTACCTGGGTAAGATTCCTTCACCACCTGTGTGGGGCGGTCGGGTAGCCTAGTGGTTAAAGCCTTCGCTCGTCATGTACCTGGGTAAGATTCCTTCACCCCCTGTGTGGGGCGGTCGGGTAGCCTAGTGGTTAAAGCATTCGCTCGTCATGTACCTGGGTAAGATTCCTTCACCACCTGTGCGGGGCGGTCGGGTAGCCAAGTGGTTAAAGCGTTCGCTCGTCATGTACCTGGGTAAGATTCCTTCACCCCCTGTGTGGGGCGGTCGGGTAGCCTAGTGGTTAAAGCATTCGCTCGTCATGTACCTGGGTAAGATTCCTTCACCACCTATGTGGGGCGGTCGGGTAGCCTAGTGGTTAAAGCATTCGCTCGTCATGTACCTGGGTAAGATTCCTTCACCATCTGTGCGGGGCGGTCAGGTAGCCTAGTGGTTAAAGCCTTCGCTCGTCATGTACCTGGGTAAGATTACTTCACCACCTGTGCGAGGCGGTCGGGTAGCCTAGTGGTTAAAGCGTTCGCTCGTCATGTACCTGGGTAAGATTCCTTCACCCCCTGTGTGGGGCGGTCGGGTAGCCTAGTGGTTAAAGCCTTCGCTCGTCATGTACCTGGGTAAGAATCCTTCACCACCTGTGTGGGGCGGTCGGGTAGCCTAGTGGTTAAAGCGTTTGCTCGTCATGTACCTGGGTAAGATTCCTTCACCACCTGTGCGGGGCGGTCGGGTAGCCTAGTGGTTAAAGCGTTCGCTCGTCATGTACCTGGGTAAGATTCCTTCACCACCTGTGCGGGGCGGTCGGGTAGCCTAGTGGTTAAAGCGTTCGCTCGTCATGTACCTGGGTAAGATTCCTTCACCCCCTGTGTGGGGCGGTCGGGTAGCCTAGTGGTTAAAGCATTCGCTCGTCATGTACCTGGGTAAGAATCCTTCACCACCTGTGTGGGGCGGTCGGGTAGCCTAGTGGTTAAAGCATTCGCTCGTCATGTACCTGGGTTAGATTCCTTCACCACCTGTGCGGGGCGGTCGGGTAGCCTAGTGGTTAAAGCATTCGCTCGTCATGTACCTGGGTAAGATTCCTTCACCACCTGTGCAGGGCGGTCGGGTAGCCTAGTGGTTAAAGCATTCGCTCGTCATGTACCTGGGTAAGATTCCTTCACCACCTGTGCGGGGCGGTCAGGTAGCCTAGTGGTTAAAGCATTCGCTCGTCATGTACCTGGGTAAGATTCCTTCACCACCTATGTGGGGCGGTCGGGTAGCCTAGTGGTTAAAGCATTCGCTCGTCATGTACCTGGGTAAGATTCCTTCACCACCTGTGTGGGGCGGTCGGGTAACCTAGCGGTTAAAGCCTTCGCTCGTCATGTACCTGGGTAAGATTCCTTCACCACCTGTGTGGGGCGGTCGGGTGGCCTAGTGGTTAAAGCGTTCGCTCGTCATGTACCTGGGTAAGATTCCTTCACCACCTGTGCGGGGCGGTCGGGTAGCCAAGTGGTTAAAGCGTTCGCTCGTCATGTACCTGGGTAAGATTCCTTCACCACCTGTGCGAGGCGGTCGGGTAGCCTAGTGGTTAAAGCATTCGCTCGTCATGTACCTGGGTAAGATTCCTTCACCCCCTGTGTGGGGCGGTCGGGTAGCCTAGTGGTTAAAGCATTCGCTCGTCATGTACCTGGGTAAGAATCCTTCACCACCTGTGTGGGGCGGTCGGGTAGCCTAGTGGTTAAAGCGTTTGCTCGTCATGTACCTGGGTAAGATTCCTTCACCACCTGTGTGGGGCGGTCGGGTAGCCTAGTAGTTAAAGCGTTCGCTCGTCATGGACCTGGGTAAGATTCCTTCACCACCTGTGTGGGGCGGTCGGGTAGCCTAGTGGTTAAAGCGTTCGCTCGTCATGTACCTGGGTAAGATTCCTTCACCACCTGTGCGGGGCGGTCGGGTAGCCTAGTGGTTAAAGCGTTCGCTCGTCATGTACCTGGGTAAGATTCCTTCACCACCTGTGCGAGGCGGTCGGGTAGCCTAGTGGTTAAAGCATTCGCTCGTCATGTACCTGGGTAAGATTCCTTCACCCCCTGTGTGGGGCGGTCGGGTAGCCTAGTGGTTAAAGCATTCGCTCGTCATGTACCTGGGTAAGAATCCTTCACCACCTGTGTGGGGCGGTCGGGTAGCCTAGTGGTTAAAGCGTTTGCTCGTCATGTACCTGGGTAAGATTCCTTCACCACCTGTGCGGGGCGGTCGGGTAGCCTAGTGGTTAAAGCGTTCGCTCGTCATGTACCTAGGTAAGATTCCTTCACCACCTATGGGCGGTCGGGTAGCCTAGTGATTAAAGCGTTCACTCGTCATGTACCTGGGTAAGATTCCTTCACCACCTGTGTGGGGCGGTCGGGTAGCCTAGTGGTTAAAGCGTTCGCTCGTCATGTACCTGGGTAAGATTCCTTCACCACCTGTGTGGGGCGGTCGGGTAGCCTAGTGGTTAAAGCGTTCGCTCGTCATGTACCTGGGTAAGATTCCTTCACCACCTGTGTGGGGCGGTCGGGTAGCCTAGTGGTTAAAGCCTTCGCTCGTCATGTACCTGGGTAAGATTCCTTCACCCCCTGTGTGGGGCGGTCGGGTAGCCTAGTGGTTAAAGCATTCGCTCGTCATGTACCTGGGTAAGAATCCTTCACCACCTGTGTGGGGCGGTCGGGTAGCCTAGTGGTTAAAGCGATTGCTCGTCATGTACCTGGGTAAGATTCCTTCACCACCTGTGCGGGGCGGTCGGGTAGCCTAGTGGTTAAAGCGTTCGCTCGTCATGTACCTGGGTAAGATTCCTTCACCACCTATGGGCGGTCGGGTAGCCTAGTGATTAAAGCATTCGCTCGTCATGTACCTGGGTAAGATTCCTTCACCACCTGTGTGGGGCGGTCGGGTAGCCTAGTGGTTAAAGCGTTCGCTCGTCATGTACCTGGGTAAGATTCCTTCACCACCTGTGCGGGGCGGTCGGGTAGCCTAGTGGTTAAAGCGTTCGCTCGTCATGTACCTGGGTAAGATTCCTTCACCACCTGTGTGGGGCGGTCGGGTAGCCTAGTGGTTAAAGCATTCGCTCATCATGTACCTGGGTAAGATTCCTTCACCACCTGTGCGGGGCGGTCGGGTAGCCTAGTGGTTAAAGCGTTCGCTCGTCATGTACCTGGGTAAGATTTCTTCACCACCTGTGTGGGGCGGTCGTGTAGCCTAGTGGTTAAAGCGTTGTGCGGGGCGGTCGGGTAGCCTAGTGGTTAAAGCGTTCGCTCGTAATGTACCTGGGTAAGATTCCTTCACCACCTGTGCGGGGCGGTCGGGTAGCCTAGTGGTTAAAGCGTTCGCTCGTCACACGATTCGATCACTGACATGGGTACAATGTGTGAAGCCCATTTCTGGTGTCCCCCGCCATGATATTGCTGGAATATTGCTAAAAGCAACGTAAAACCATACTTTCTCACTCACTCACCACCTGTGTCTGTGTCCCTGGCAGCACAAGGACAGATCCTAGCAGGTCATATCAGCTGCAATAGAAACTACCGTATATCGCTGTGTATAAGGCGACCCCACGTATAAGACGACCCCCCTGTACACGCCTTAAAAATCAACCCAAAATCCTATACTCCGTGTACAAGGCGACCGGGAATGAAACACATCACAAGTCTGACTGATAAAGAAGATTTAACGTGCGCTTTCCGACTGTAGCATATTTCGCACACGGACATCACAAGTTAGTTAGTTAGTTACTTTGGAGATTTAACGTGCGCTTTCCGACTGATGCGTATTTCGCACACATCACAAGTGCGCACACAAACCTTATATATGCAATAAAAATATGTTTATCTTGCGTTGGTTTTTTTCTACAATGATAGGTCGCGTGTGTAACTCCAGCACACATCGCCATTTTGTGTTTACACGGTACGACACCAAATTGGTGCCCGTAAAATAAAATTCATTTATGAAGTAATAACATATAAGAGACAATGGTGAGTAATTTAATCGCCAATTAACTATGTTGTAACTAACTAGGCTTATGTTTGCTTCACATTCAGCGTGTTTATTCCACAATCACTTGTACACACCGTCTCCAACACTTGTTAATACAACTGTAAAAACAGCGGGAATTGATTTCAACTTCACCGGTTATCACATGTTAGGTCACATGTGCAATATGCAAATGCTTACCGGTACTTCCGGCTCTCTACTCACGGATGTTGATTGTTTTACCGTGTCAGGTGGTTTGACAATCTGCATCGAGGCGAGGGTCATTTCAACTTTATTTGCAGAAATTATTAAACTTTATTCAAGGAAAAGAGATACAAATCATGTTTATGTATGGAAATAGTTACTGGAACAGTTATTTAGGACGAAATGCGAAGTTTTATTGTCAAATGCTGGGCTGGCTATCGGACGCCGGTTGACATCGCCAGTGGAAAAAAATGTGAGATCTTCGACTCCGTGTATAAGACGACCCCCCTTCTTAGCCCCCTCATTTTAGGTCCGA